AGTTTAGATACTGGGGGGAAAACAAGAAAATTTACACAATTTTTCCCCCGAAATTGGAGCTTTTTTTAGTTATCATTATTTCTTCACACATGACAGTTCACTGTAGCAGCATTTTGGTCTCAGCTCTTCAACTCCAATTTTTTTTGTACAAAAAAATTGTACTGATGAGACCCTGATCTGGTTTTGTGTGTCCCTCCTTCAGATGGTGTCAAGACTCTCCAGTTGTGACTGTCCTCGGGGGTGGAGTGCCTCATGCTGAAGTCGGAGAAGCAGATCATATCTGCCAGTGAAAAAGCTGTGCGTCATATTTAAGGACAGACTCAGAGCTGTGTTGCATTTTTTAGACACCTGGTAAAAAAAACAAGGCACAAATGTTCCCCCGGACCCTGCAATCACTATATCTGGTCTCCCCGGACCCTGCAATCACTATATCTGGTCTCCCCGGACCCTGCAATCACTATATCTGGTCTCCCCGGACCCTGCATTCACTATATCTGGTCTCCCCGGACCCTGGCATTCACTATGATCTGGTCTCCCCGAACCCTGCATTCACTATATCTGGTCTCCCCGGACCCTGCATTCACTATATCTGGTCTCCCCGGACCCCGCATTCACTATATCTGGTCTCCCCGGAACCCCCGCATTCACTATATCTGGTCTCCCGAACCCCGGCATTCACTATATCTGGTCTCCCCGGACCCCGCGTTTCACTATATCTGGTCTCCCCGAACCCCGCATTCACTATATCTGGTCTCCCCGGACCCCGCGTTTCACTATATCTCGGTCTCCCCGGACCCCGCGTTTCACTATATCTGGTCTCCCCGAACCCCGCATTCACTATATCTGGTTTCCCGAACCCCGCATTCACTATATCCGGTCTCCACCGAAACCCCGCAATTCACTATATCTGGTCTCCCAGGGACCCTGCATTCACTATATCCGGTCTCCCCGAACCCTGCATTCACTATATCTGGTCTCCCCGGACCCTGCATTCACTATATCTGGTCTCCCCGAACCCTGCATTCACTATATCTGGTCCTCCCCGGACCCCGCATTCACTATATCTGGTCTCCCCGGACCCTGCATTCACTATATCTGGTCTCCCCGGACCCCGCAGTCCACTATATCTGTCTCCCCGGACCCTGCATTCACTATATCTGGTCTCCCTGGACCCTGCGTTCACTATATCTGGTCTCCCCGGACCCTGCATTCACTATATCTGGTCTCCCCCGGACCCCGCATTCACTATATCTGGTCTCCCAGGACCCCGCATTCACTATACTGGTCTCCCCGGACCCCGCATTCACTATATCTGGTCTCCCAGGACCCCGCATTCACTATATCTGGTCTCCTCGAACCCTGTATTCACTATATCTGGTCTCCCCGGACCCTGCATTCACTATATCTGGTCTCCTCGAAACCCTGCATTCACTATATCTGGTCTCCCCGGACCCTGCATTCACTATATCTGGTCTCCTCGAACCCTGCATTCACTATATCTGGTCTCCCCGGACCCTGCATATTACTATATCTGGTCTCCACGGACCCTGCATTTACTATATCTGGTCTCCCCGGACCCTGCATTCACTATATCTGGACTTCCCGGACCCCGCATTCACTATATCTGTCCTCCCCAGACCCTACATTCATCCAAAACTGGTCTCCCTGGACCCTGCTTTCACTATATCTGGTCTCCCAGGACCCTGAATTCACAAACCCCGGTCTTCCAATACAAGAACATAGAAAATGCAATTTTTTTAGTAATAAAAACGCTAAATTCCCTTTTTTAAACAGCAGGTAGAGGAGTTTTGTGACTTTATCATGCCCCAAAAGGGCATTTGGTTAAAGTTTGGGTTTTTTATTTTCCCTTGGGAAGATGCGGGCCCCCTGACCTTTGTGGACAGTGTGATTGGGGCCCTTTGTGACACATGCAATCTCCCAAGAAAAAAAAGAAACCCTCTAGCAATACCCCAAACTGAGCATGTGAGATGACCCCACACAGTAGTCTTATCAAGAAAAGAGGAGGCACTGCAAGGGGGGATCAGAAAAGACAGGATCAAACAGTGTTTTTATACAGTGCGGGGATTAACCCCTAAGGTTCCACAGTGATATAACAAGCAGCTTTACTGCATCTCAGACTGATATTACATTTTGGGGGTTTTTAGTAACATTTTAAATATTTATACTTATTTTTTTAATATTAATGGACCTTACTTATATAATGGGTCCATGCCCCAAGCGTTGGCGTGTATAAAATCTTCTGTTTTTTATTGCCGTATTTTCAGCTGCTTGTATGGCCTTTTGCGGGCCCTCGCTGTGCATTCCCACCAGGTGCATGGAGGGACATTTTGCCCCAAAATTTGGGGGGGAAAATGCAAAATCAAGTTTTCCAAAATCACAGACAGTGACAGACGATTGCTTGGGGAAGTTGATGGACGCTGCTGGATCCCTGGATTCTGATTTTATAGTCTTGCTATCATCCAATAGTATGGGAGGGGGGTAAATAAGAGGATGTGAATTTGGGTTTGGGGGTTCTACACTTGAAGGACTTCCCCTGGTCACCTTGGGTGGTGAAGGGATGAGTGAACCTAAATGAAGTTCACACCCAGATAATACATTTAAAAAGAATAAACCCAAAGCGTTTCAGTGACTCTCCCCCCCTCTTCATAGAGATTAAAGGGAATTTTAACAATGTTATCAAAATTGGTGTTTTGAAGTTGGAAACTCACGTATCCACACCCTTTCTCTTTCTTCGGGGTTCTTGCCATTGCCGATCTTGTGGGCGGGGTCTTCCTTCCCAAAATGATGGAGGAATCTTGCCAACAAGGAGAGCAACCCAGTCCCATCCTCCCGGGCTCTTAACCCTGAATTTTGGGTGGATGCTGCCCCAGAATGTCAACCTATCCCCCCCCCCCACCAATCCACCCAGATCTGCCTTCAAAAAAGGTACTTTTAAAAAAAAGAGGCCCCCTTTTCCCCAAACAAAAGGAACTAGGTGCTTGCCCCCCCCCCCCCCTGTTTTGGGGGAACATGGGCGTCCCCCTCCCCCTGGGGGCTGGTAACCTTGAATTTGGTGGAGCTGCCCCCGGTAGTCACCCTACCCCTCCCCCCCCCAAATCATCACCCAGATCTACCCTTCAAAGGTCTTGAGAAAGGAAGGGCCCTTGTCCTCATCAAAAATGGAGACTAGGTGCTTTTTCCCCCCCCCCCCCCCCATGTTGAGGGGAACATGTGCGTCCCCCTCCTCCTGGGCTCTGTAACCTTGAATTTTGGATGGATGCGCCCCCCGGTATGTCAACCCTTCCCCTCCCCCCCAATCTCACCCCAACTGCCCTTCACAAGGGCCTAGAGAAAAGGAAGAGGGACTAGGAGCTTTGCCCCCCCTTTGTTGAGAGTAGACATGTCAGTTTATTTTTAAATTCCAAATCGAAAATTTACAAATTTTTTTTTTTCAGAGATTTGGATGATCAAAATTTTTTTGGGAAATTTCAATAGTGTGAGAAACAAAAAAAAAAAAAGGAATAAGAAAGAAGAGAAAAATTAAAAAGAAAAATTAAAAGAATTTAAGACCTAGACAGAATTAATAAATAAAATAGAATGAAGAATAAAAAGATCAATAAAAATTACAAGGACCTGTAATTAATACCACAGGAAGTAAAACTAACTCAAAGCAGAAGAAAAATAAAAGGAAAAAGCAAAACAAAAAAACAGAAAAGATCAAAAAGAAGAAGAACAATAAAAAAAGACAAAAGAAAAGGAACGAATACTCAGAATTAAGAAGAAAGAAAAAGTGAAAAAAGCATAAACAAGAAAGTAGACAAAAGCTACCACAGAAAAAGAAAAAAGATACAAAACACATGCAAAAAAGAAGAAGACAAAAAAAAAAAAAGAAAAGAAAATAAGTAAAAAAAATTTAAATTAAGTAACAAAATGAAACAAAATATTTTCGTTTGCACATTTTAGTTCGGGGCCCATGGGGCCGGGTATGTCGGGCAAAAATGTAAAAAAAACCCAAAGTATCGGGGTTTAAAAAAAAAAAACAGTGGGAGACCCCCCCCCCCCCCCCAATCCTTTAAGGGGCCCCTTTGGGTCTGGTAAGGATTTTAAAGTAAAACCCAAACCCCCAAATTTTTAAAAAGAAATGGCGATGGGCCCCCCCAAAAAAACCGAAACCGGGCCCCCTTAAAAAAACATGCACCTGACAGGCCGGGGAAAGGGTTTGGTATGAGGGGAAGAAACCCCCCCCCCCCCCCCCCCCCCATGAACCTTTCGGGCCCACTTGCCTTAAAAAATGGGGGGGGGTTTCTTGGGAAAAGGGGGGGAGCACCCCAAAGCAAACCCTTTTCCTCAGGTTGATGAAGACAAGGGGCCCCATAGTACTCCTACTCATTCACTAGGGGAAAGTGTTAAAGTAAAAAAAAAATTTTTTTTATTTTAAAAAAAAAAAAATAAAAGTCCCCCCCTAGTAGATTTCCCAAAGTTGATATTTTAGGGGTGAGAACCCCCCAAAACCATCTGAACTCCCCCACCATTTTGTTTTTGGCTCTGAGCCCCCTTCTGGGTATGGGTTGCAGGGAAACCTTTTTCATTTTGGGGCCAAAGGGGGGACTGACAACTTATGGGGCCCCCGGGGAATAGGGGGTTTTTTAGGGCCCCCGTTCCCTTTCCCCCCAAATCAAAAAAAGTTATGAAAAAGGTGCCAGGGGGATCCCCATGGGGGGCCCCCCGGGCCCCCCGGGGCCCCCCGGGGGAGTGCCCCAGTTTCCAAATGGTCAATCCGCCCCTGGCCAGAGCCCGTTGGGGCCGAATATTTCCCCGTTTCCCTTTATGCTTGGAACAAATTTAAATGTTAAAATCTCACCTCAGCTCTTTTTGGATATGTCCTTCAAAAAAACAAAAATCCCGACAGAGGGTCTGGGGGGCCCTTTAAAAAAAAGAGCCCGGGCTTACGCACCTTAATTTTTTCGAAAGGGACCCCCCCCCCCCCTTTTCCCCTCCACACTCCCCCGTCCCGGCAATTTTACAATGAGCAGACATGAATTTATAGAAAAAAGAAAAATGACGGCAGAAAAAGGCCGAGAGGTCCTTCAAGTCTGCACTTTTTTTGTGTATGGGGGGTTTGTTGTTTTTTTTCGGGGGGGGGGGGTTATTTTAAAAAAAATTTTGGGGGGGGGTTTTTATTATTTATTTTTTGGGGGGGGTCATAGTTATCTAGCTGAAAAAAGCAAAAGTCCATCCATTGAACCAAAAAAAAAATTTTAATCCTATCCCCACAGTTGCTCCTGCAGGGAAAAAAAAACCCTTCCCTGTACCTCGAGACAATTCCCCCGGGATTAACTTTACCTATAAAGTTAGTATCCATCGGGGGGAGGGCCATTTAAAAATTTGGGGTAGTGGGGGGGCCCCATGAGACCCCCCGGGTACCTTTTTCATGGGTTTTTTTTTGAGTTTGGGCAAGGCCCCGGGGCCCCATGATCCCCTATTCCCCGGGGGGCCCCCCTTTGAGTTGTCACCCGCCTCGGGTTTTGTATCCAGTTATATTCTTTATTTTCCAAATATGTATCAAGAAACATCCAGGACTTTTTAAAGCAATCCACGAGCGGGCCAGAATCAATTTTGGGGAGTCTATTCCTAATTTCACAGCTTTCTATAAGAAACCTTTCCGTTTTTGAAGATTACATTTCTTTTTCTCCGACGAAAGAGTGTTTTTTTTTGGGGGGGGGGGGGTTAACTTTCTTTAAATTTTGAAATTTACCTCCATTTATTTTTTAACCATTGCCTCCAGGCACTTAAACCCCCTTCCCTTACCAGGCCAATTTTCAGTTTTTCAGCGTGCCGACTTTGATTGAAAATTTGCGCGGTCATGCAACATTGTCCCCTATGAAATTTGTCATTTTTTTCTCCAAATAGAGCTTTCTTTTGGGGGTATTAAACGCCACTGGGGCCCTTTACTTTTTGCGCTATAAAAAAAAAAAGTGCAAAAAATTTGAAAAAAAAAAAAAATTTTTTTTGTTTCTTTTATAAAATTTTCAAAAGGCATTTTTTCTCCTTACTGATGTGGTTGATGAGGAGCAATTGGGATGGGCCACTGAAAGGGGGGGCGGCACTAAAGGGCACTGTAGGGAGTCTAAAGAGGTGGGATGGATAGGGGGCATGAAGACAGCACTAATGAGGTGTTCACGGGTAGGCGGGACAATATCGCATGATAGCGGGGCCCGATAGGGGACATGATGAAGGGGACTGATAGACGGGATGACTGGCTACTGCTGGGGACTGACTGGGGGCACTGACTGCACAACCCCGGGCACTGATGGGTGGCACTAATGGGACACTGCTGGGGTGCACTGGTGGGTGGCCTGGGGGCAGCACTGGTGGGTGGGGAACAGGTGGGTTGGCACAGGGGGAATCCAACCCAAAGAACTGTAGAAAAAACAAGACAGGAGAATCATATCCAAAAAAAGATAAAGAAGATAAAAACCAAAAAAAAAATAAAAACAGGAGAAAAAAAAAAAAAGAGAAACAGTAAAAACAAGGTGGATAGATAATAAAGCAAAGGAAAGAAAAAAGGCTCGTGTCGACACTGCTGGGAAAAGTGGGCGTCAAAAAAAGAGCGAACAAAGCTGAATCAAAGATCAACAGGCACTTGATCTATCAGTCATCAGTGACAAAAGCCGAATCAAAGAATCTGAATTAAACTGCTAAAAGTTCTCGAAAGTAATAAACTACAAACGATCTGATAAATGAAGAAAGTG